ATTAAGCTAATGTTTGATTGTTTTCCTTTAAGTAGTTATTATTTATTTATTTATTATTATTATTATTATTATTATTTGAATTTGAGGTGGGGATTCTAACTCTATTTTATGATGTAGTCAAATGTGGTATTACCATCAGAATATGCATCGATCACAATTATTATTATTTTTTAAATATATCTATTTTGAGGTTCATTATTAAAAAAAAAAAAAAAAAGGACAAATTATTTTGAGGTTTATTCTTATATTCTTACTCCAACTAGTCCACAGTTATTATTATTTTTTCGAATATATCTATTTTGAGGTTCATCAATTTAAAAATATATATTTTTTGAGGTTTATTCTTATATTTTATGGAAAAGCAATCAGCAATTTGGATCGTACGTGGCAACACTGTAAGTAACAAAGTGCCCACGCGTAAGCCAACTAGCGGGAAGTGACCGCACCCGATCCAGCACATCCTTTACATGGCGGTTTCCTTATCAACAACCTTAGATAATCCATCCAACTAAAAGGCGCCACGTCATTGTTATCCTGAGTGAGAAGCAGGTGATAGAAAGCCCACAAATGCCGGTGACGTTCTCGCTTTTTATTTTTCATTTTTTTTCCCTTTTTTAAAAAAAAAAAGGGGGAATTGATTTTTTTTTTTTTTGGGACAGCGCAAAACACGATGGGGGTGTTTCCTGACGTATGGGCCGTCGCTTTCATTGACTATTGTTAATTGGCTCAGTCACGCGTTGACATCACTCTGCGTGGCGTGATTGCATGGGACAAGTTCGAAATTGGTTTTTCAACATGATAAGTCGGCGTCGTTTTGCCTGCAACGTACTTCTGAGGGCAAAACGACGAGTCGAGACGACAAGTAGAGGCGTGTAGTTTGGGACCTCTATTGCGCCATCCTTTACGCCTAAAAATTCCAATTTTGATTATGTCGTTTTTTATATTATATTTTGATTATGTCGTTACAATGAAAAGAAATCCTATGTGATAAATTTTTTTTTTTCAGTGGATTGATTTTTCTTTCTTAACCTCATTATTTTAAGAGGGCGTTTGCTTTTTTTCTTTTTTTTTTTTTGAAATATTTGAATGATTTATGTTTGACCTTGTTTTACATCGTGAAGTGAAAATATGATAAATTAATCCCAAAAGCAACACTTCTAGATGTTGAATTTGTATATAAATACCTTTCGGAAAAAAAAAAAAAAAAGAATTGCATAACTAGAAGCAATAATTGACACAAGTACTAGAAATATTTACTACTCGGAAGTCATTGCCCACCACACAAGGATCAAATATCATAATAAATTGATTCCAGAATCTCTATTTTCATCTATTTATGTATTTTGAACCAATTTAGAAATATGACATGTTGTTCCTATTTGAATATGAAATTTATTTAATAAGGAATTATGGTTATTTTATTTTTCTAATTGCAACTTTTGAATTGTTTTGGCAGGATTTTTCTAGATAGTTAAAACATCTACAGTGGGTTAAGTTGTTTCCTAAACTCAATTTTTTTCTTAACAAATCTTAAAAATGCGTTCTTAGCTCTAAAAATTTTATACTCTTCAAATAATGTGTCGTATTGGATTAGATTGGGAGACATTTTTTTATTAGTAACAGATTGAGAAAAATCGAATGGGAAGGTTTTGGTTTGATTTATAGATTGAGCATTTATCAATCCATAAAATTCATCAACCAAAATTAATCATATATTATATAATAAAAATGTAATTATATTTTTTCATTAAGCTTTTAGTAATATATATCTGTATATATGGATATTTTGTTTTTCTTAACACACATCACTAACAATACCATGTGCCAACGCATTTGTTTTTTGTTTTAATACATAATCCAACCCACCTGAGAAGACCCTAATGGCTAGAATCGTTATTCATAATTCATTCTTAAACTCAATCCATGTACTTAAGAATCTAATCTGCAACGCTAGTTTTAGATTCGATTGAATTGAGAGAGAAATTTTAATCCGGTAGTTTTGATTTAAATTGCGAAATAAACTCTAATCCGTAACACCTATCCTAATAAATTATAACTCTCATTGTCAATCTATACTTATTACAATTACGCATACCCACTATGAATTTCTATTATAGAGTATCAAACACTTAATTCATTTGTTGGTATTCACTGTAGCATTAAAAAAGATTTTATCAGACATCTATCTACTTATGTGTTGAGAATTAGATAACTTAATTCTTTATTATCGAGCGTAATAACATCACAAAGGACAAACAAAAACTAGTTCCTCAATTTTATAGATAAAGAAAAGTAGGGTGACTGTTATTACAAGTGTAAAATCCCCAATTAGTACTCATTATAAGATCATCCACAAAGCAATTCCAAATTGATGTATGTCCAATTTTCAGTCTTTTAACACTTTTGAAAATTCTATCTCTATATATTATACGAACGTAATTGTATCTATTAGCTTATCCTGTCAAAATCTTATTCAAATTGTAAATCTTAAAGTACACTGTACAAGACAGCAATATTTGTCATGTACGAAAAACATATAGTTTTTTATTATTTTTTATTATTTATGCACGCAGTGCACATCGTATATAATTCATTATTCACAATTTCTTACATATCTTCACCAAATATATATATATATACATACATATATATACACACACTCAGATATAAGCGAGACAGTTTATAATATTTTCCAATTTTCATATTGTGTTAATTAGAGGATTTAAAAACACTTGAGGATTTTATGCGGCAGGAATACTTATCATTTTTTATTCTTACATTGTGATTAGAATAATTTTATGCAGCGCCTTGTGAATATTTAACATGAACACTCACTCAAATAATTAAAAATTTAATTTAACAGTCAAAATAATGATTTTTATTGTTAATTAAAGAAAAAGTTATGATAAAAATGAGACAATAGTGATCGGATATATAAACCCTATCAAAAAAAAAAAATAGAAAATATTATAATAAAATTTTTATAAAAGAAAAACGCGATTTGAATCGTGCTTCAAATTCGATCTATAGTCGGCTATTATAATTAAGTGTCGTACATTCGTATACGTGTTTGGGTTGCCCATTATGTTTTAATAACGTTTCACACAATGAACCCGTACGAGTCGGCTAATCCCGACAAAGAAAAACGAGAAAAAAAAAAAAAAAAAAAAGTGTACTATTTAGGGAGGTCTTCTTTAGTTGTTTGCTTTTTTCGGGTCAACTCGCGCGTTATACATTTTTCAGTCAAAGGAGGGAAAATTTTGGCAGTTTGGACAATTAAAAACTCCTCAAGTCTCTAAACCAATTTACTAATCTCTTTAATTATATCATCCAGTTTCCACGCGCCTATAAAGTCGACTGGGCCCACGACCTTTATTTAGTCAACCATTGAATCAAATGGCATGCCTTACTTTGTTTGAAGGTGTAGAGAAAAACCAAAAAAGAAAAAAAAAGAAAAAAAAGAAAAAGGTTTAGCAATCATAATAATTCATAATAAACCCCTCAACCCAAAATCCAAACCCTCGAAGGATGAAAAGGTTGGGGGTAAAAAAAGATTATAACCATCTCTATTAGATTCTTATAAATTAAATTTTTTTTGTCATAGCACTAAAAAAATAAAAATGTTAGCTGATTTTGAATATTTTATTTTGAGTCATTGTCACTTGAGTCTTGTCTTGTTAATAAATACTACAATCTTATATTCAGAGCAAAAAAAAAAAAATCTTATCATAATTATTATAGTACACAAGATAATAATTTCTAATGCATATTACATTTATTGAAATAACATGACGATTGACGTAGTTGTGATAAACAAAAAGATCAAAACGAATCTATTGTAAAGTGTTTTTTCGTTAACTATTATATAAAAATCATCATTATTGAAAACAATACCCTTTTATAAGTAGATGGTATATATTAGTTAGTACATTTGAATAAAATTATTTCCTTGTAAAATACTCTTACCTTTGCACGTACATTGTCACCACTAGTTCTTACAATTTATATTTTTTTTGGGTCAATAATTACTTAATTACGATTCTCTTATCGTTACAATAACAATTAACCTTACAATCCTCATAATGCTACGAATAAACAAATGTATTAAAAAGAATAAAAAACTAGAGCCTCATAAAAAGAAATGCATATCTCTACTAGTTTCATTATTTTTATTTAAAAAATAAAATAAAATCAATTAAAGTTGCTCTTTATTCAAATATATTGATCAAGATATTCAAATATATATATATATATATATATTTTGAAAAGATATTGAAAAATATTGCAAGTTCAGGAATTGTCTCCAATCGGGTATCGGATTGCAATCCGGTATCAGATTGGAGCGTCAAATGTATATTTTTAAAAAAAAATATGTATATTTTCTACTGGATTAGAGCGACACGTATCTATTTCTTTTAAAAATATGCATATTTCTTCTTCGGCACATGTATATTTTCTCTTAAAATATGTATAATATAAGGAGACACTTATAATGTATCTAAATATCTATATACATATTTTTAAAATATATATATATATATACCAAAAAAATATACATATTTTTTTAAAAAATATAAATATTCGGAGGCTTTACCTAAATAATTGTCTCCAAATTCCGCATACATACATTATACGTGCGTTAGGAGATCTTATTGTTTAATTCTTTCTAATATTTTCTTTTTAGTTATATAATATTCGCCGGGTTGTGGGGCTTAAGGCTCTTAATAAAGGCAAATACGAAGCATCCCATGTGACGTCCTCCCACAACAACCAAAAAAGACCTCCCCAACAGACGGTTTTGACCTTGCACAAAACCCACAAAGTCCAAGTCCAAGGCCGTAATTCCAACCAAAAAGTATGTTCTTTTTCGTCAAAACAGAAAAAAGAAAGTTGTATAAATTATTATTGTAGACCATGTACATAATTATTTTTGCACATAAATCCAACACGGAAAAATTCTCAAAAAAAAAAAAAAAAAAAAAAAAAAAAACTGTTCGTAGAGTAGGAGGAGGAAGAAGAAAAACGAATGGACAGGAATCTGGATAATTATCCGTCAAAGCCATTGAAGTCGTTTTCACCAAGGGTGCATTGAAATTCTAGACACAGAAAGTCTCCGAAATTCAGTCCTTTTCCTTCCTTTTTCGAGGACGCGGAATCGGCCAAAATTAAATGAATATTTAATTAAAAGAAAACTAGAAAATTTGGGCTCACAAGGTTTTGTTTGGGGAACTCATTCCTCTATTTCTCACTTTTTCTGTTTTTCTTTTTTTGTTCTCTTTCCTTTGAAGATTCAAACGTCGACCAAAGCTATACAAAGAACAACTGACGACGAAGAAAGTTTGAAGAGTAAGACTGTTTCATAGTCTTTTTCTTTTGTTTTGCAATTTTTGAGGATTTTCAAGATCTGTTTGGGGGAGGAAGAAGGGGAATTTGTGTGGGTTGTCGGAAAAATCGGAGTTTTGTTCGGTTTTGGTGGTTGAGAAAATTTGGAATTTGTTTGTTTGGATAGAGAGAAAATCGTTTGTGATTTTCTTTTTTATTTCGTTCGTTCTTTCATTTTTTTTTTTTTGGGATTGGATTGGGATGGCTTCGGCGGCGATATTTTCGTCTTTGCGGCGGCGGAGATCGCCTTCTCTGGAGGCGTTTTTGGCTCCGGTTGACCTAACGGACGTCGCTCTTGTGCAAACCCTAGCGTCGTTGACCGCCGAGCTTGTCTCGTCGTTCTCCGACGTGTCGTTTTACTTTCAGAGGAAGAATTCTCGGTCGCTGGTGAGGAAAATGGAGGTTTTTCTCGTGCTGTTGGAGTATTTGAGGGATTCGGGTGTGAGTCTGCCATGGACGGCCTTGCTCTGCTTGAAAGAACTTTACTTGCTTTTGTATCGCTCCAAAATACTGCTTGATTATTGCTCGCAATCGAGCAAGTTGTGGCTTTTGCTTCAGAATCATTCGATTTCGGGCCATTTTCATGATTTGAACCAGGAGATTTCAACGCTTTTGGATGTTTTTCCGATGGAGGATGTCGAATTGGGGGAGGATATTAGGGAGCAGACCGAGCTCTTGCGTAGGCAGTCGAGGAGGGCCAAATTGTTTATTGATAAAGACGATGAAGCGCTGAGGATTCAGTTCTTTTCGTTCCTCGATGAGTTTGAGAATGGGAAGATTCCGAGTTCGGAGGATTTGCGGTTATTTCTCTTGGAGAGATTGCGGATTCGGGACGCGAAGAATTGCAGGAATGAAATTGAGTTCTTGGAGGAGCAGATTGTTAATCATGAGGGGGATGTTGAGCCTACTGTTGGGGTGCTTAATGGGTTTGTGGCGCTTACAAGATATTGCAGGTTTTTGCTTTTCGGTTTTGAGGAGGATGAAGTAGAATTGGGGTGTGGGAGTCAGAAGAAGCCAAGGAAGGGGCTGATTTCTCAAGAAATTGCAGATACCTTTATAACGATTCCGAAGGACTTTTGTTGCCCAATATCTTTGGATTTGATGCGAGACCCCGTGATCATCTCAACGGGGCAGACTTATGATCGGAGTTCGATATCCAGGTGGATGGAAGAAGGGCACTGCACTTGCCCAAAGACGGGGCAGATGCTCATCAATACCCGCCTTGTTCCGAATCGAGCTTTGAGGAATTTGATCATGCAGTGGTGCAATGCTCATGGGATTCCATACGACCCGCCAGAGTGCCCGGATGCATCTGCAGAAAGCTTTGCGGCGCCTTCCCCCACTAAGGCTGCTCTGGAAGCTAACAGAGCAACGGCAGCGCTTCTAATTCAACAGCTAGCGCACGGATCACAAGTTGCAAAGACTTTAGCTGCTCGTGAGATACGTTTGTTGGCAAAAACAGGACGTGAAAACCGCGCGTTCATTGCAGAAGCTGGAGCAATTCCGTATCTTCGAACAATACTCTTGTCTCCTAACCCGGTTGCACAGGAGAATTCTGTAACTGCAATGCTCAACCTTTCGATCTATGACAAAAACAAAAGCCGGATTATGGAAGAAGAAGGGTGTTTAGAGTCGATTGTGGAAGTTCTCAGGTTTGGGCACACGACAGAGGCTAGGGAAAATGCTGCCGCAACCTTGTTTAGCCTCTCAGCGGTTCATGATTACAAGAAGAGAATAGCAGACGAGCAAGGGGCGATCGAAGCTTTGGCAGGTTTGCTGAGAGAGGGCACTCCAAGGGGAAAGAAGGATGCTGTTACCGCTTTGTTTAATCTGTCAACACACACAGATAACTGTGTCAGAATGATAGAGGCAAGAGCTGTGACAGCACTCGTAAGCGCATTGGGAAACGAAGGTGTTGCTGAGGAAGCGGCGGGCGCATTGGCCTTGATTGTTAGGCAGCCAATTGGCGCTGAAGCCGTAGGGAATGAGGAAATGGCGGTTGCAGGCTTGATCGGGATGATGCGTTGTGGAACACCAAAGGGAAAAGAAAATGCAGTTGCAGCATTGCTAGAGTTATGCCGGAGTGGCGGGGCAGCCACAAAGGAGAAGGTTGTTAAGGCACCAGCACTGGCTGGGTTGCTTCAGACTTTGTTGTTTACTGGTACAAAGCGAGCGAGAAGGAAGGCGGCATCACTTGCCAGAGAGTTCCAGAGGTGTGAGAACGCAATCATGCATTTTGGTGGTCTTGGTGTAGGATACGCTTTTGCGGGCAATTCTGCTACAACGAGAGATTCAGGTTTCGCTGGTGATGTCTCAGTGCCAATGTCAATTTCAGTGCCTGTTTTATAGTGGTAAACATCCCCCCCTCATGTTGTATTCCATATATGTCCCCATTTTTGCTGGAAATATTTTTAAAAATTCTTTCATTGATATTCTAAGGTCATAAAGGAAGTTATAGGAATACCATATAATGTGCTGCTTTCAAGCAATGTTCTGTATTGTTGAGCAATTAGCTTTAATTAATATACGTGTACCATTCCAACGATTTGAAATCCAGAATGTGTTTAAAAAATGTGTTAAAAACCATGGCAGGTGCATTGAGAAAGTGCATTTTACCACTTGGCTTTGTTTCATAAACGTAGGCTTCAAGTGAAGAGTTTTGTAATAAGGGTATTCGATTAACTGATTCAATGATAATTTAGATCCTTACTGTCACTTTGATCCTTCTCGCGAGATTACCAATTTTCTAGGTACTATGGCTTCCCATTTTGGTTAAGTCGAACTCAGTTCCGTTTTATTTTGAAGTGGGAGCTTAAGACTCTCTATAATGGTTAGCGTGCAACTTTATACATGTATGTATGTATGTATGTATGTCAATATAGGATTTATAAACGTCAGTGGCCCAAGCGCCCAAGTTGTGCTTCTTGATTTCATACTAACACGATAAAAATGTTTTATGAGCACCGTGTTGACTGGAAAAATTTTGACCTAAAACAATCCATTGTGCCGTGGTGGTTGGCTTTTGATTCTATTAGTTTGGAGTTCCTAATCCTTGCTTCACGCCAGAAGTATGAAAGAATGACTCAATCTGAGAAAAATCTTCTATCAACTTTTGACACTTTCCAGTTTCAAGTTTCTTCAATTATGTTTGGAAATAATCAATGAGCAGTAAATTGTTTCGTTACGTTAAAAAGACGTGTATAGTAGTACCACTCGCTATGCCAATTCTTATTTTCTAGTCTTCACGTCCCTATACATATTTTCGTGCTTGAAATTAATATTAACTTGATGGTCTTTGAAAATTATTGGAACATGACATCTGTTATTAAAACTATTGAGACTCTTTAGACTTTCTTTATTTGATACGAGAATTCCACAGTAGGGTATTTAGGATTCTGTTTTGATCCGTCCGATTGGAATTATGTGATTTCGATGTGATTTTGTTCAGATGTAACGTTTAAAACCACACACTTCTGTCGGTAGGTAGAAAGCTCGTATTTGATATTCGAAGGAAAATAAAGATATTACGGCCATGGGAACCTTCTAGAGGCAAAACTTACGGTGGAGTATGAACGATTGTGATGCAACATTGCCCCAAATTTTCTTCATTCATTTAATGGCTTTTGAATTTCAATTTTCAATAAGTATGTCAATTGTTATCCAATCAGTTTCTTCCGTCCCATCTCATCAGCCAAGCACCTTAGAGCCACAAGCCCACAACACAATTCTGGTTCTGCATCTAAAAATTTCTGCCTGATGGGAAACAGGGATATTGTGGTATTACTGTTCTATCATTTTCAGTCAATATATTTCAGTATAGGATTAGCAATTTACCATAACCTAAAAGTGTGACAATCAACTTCTGTTGTCGATGACTGAATCCTGTACGAAATTTCGTAGTATGTTGTTGCTGCCAATATTGACGGAAATGCAACGGACTAAAAGCTCCTCTCTCTTTCTTCTGTTTTTTTTTTTTTTTTTTTTTTGTGGAGATGGGAAACCCACTTGAGGCAGAATCTTTATTGTAATCGAGAGTTTCCTTAATGGCAATAAGGGCGTGGTGGGACATGCCCTTCACCAGCCTTTCTTATTATTGGATTATATTGAATGGAAGGTACTGAAAGTGTTTGTTTTTTTTTTTTTTTTGTTTTTTGTTTTTTTTATAATGGAAGGTACTGAAAGTTGGATGGACAAAGCAAGAGCCAACTTTTCAGCAAAAAAGGGGGAAAAAAAAAAAAAGCAATACCCATTTAGTGTTTTGGGGTCTTGTCTGCTGAAATAAATTTTGAGAATGGAGATATAAGCTTTAGTCACTAATGGAAATTTGGGCAGATTTTTATTTTTATTTTTATTTTTATTTGGAGTAATGGTGGGCTCTGCTAATGATAATAACATCAGAACCATCCTTCTTCATATCCTTGTTAGTCTTTGCTTCTTCTCTTTCCCATTATTTTATGACAATAAAAGAGGGTGGGGTTCCAAGAGGTAAAAAAAGGTGATTTTTCCTGGGTCCCCATGGTTTTGTTTTTACGGTACAATTTGGGAAACTGAAATTCTGTAGTTGATTCACTTGTGGCCACAACAAACGTACATGTGAAAGGCCGCCTTCTGCAATACTTTGATTCAGACAGAAATGTTGAAACACTTGGAGACGTTGTGAGGTGACAATTTTGTGGTTCATGTGGGTCCATGAAATTAAAAAACTTTTTATGTTATGTCTCAACAATGTTTTCTGCTTTATATAGTTGTTCTTGCTTATTGAGTCTTGCACTAAGGCTAGATTTTCTAGTGTTTAAGGTACAATTCTCTGCTTAATTATTTTCAACTTTGAACCTTTTTTTTTATATTAATTTTGGCAGCCACCAATGCTTCTTTGTCTTAGATAATTCATAAGTAGAATAACAGAATATTCTTGGTATTACTATTAGCAAGGAATACAGCTTAAAATGTGTGAGATTTTTTTTTTTAATTATTGAATAATGGGAAATGTCAAATTAGATAACTAAATTCTACTTATTTGCCTAGTAAACATATATGTTTTTTTTTTTTCCCCGCTAATCAATTAAACATATAAGATGTGTTTGGAATTGATTTTTACTTGTTTTTGAAAACGTGTTTACACATCTTTTGAAGTACAAAAATGAAAAAGATTTTCAAATCATGTTTGTTTAGTAAATATTTTGAAAACAAAAACAAAAATAAAAAACAATGAGAATAGTTTTTGTGAATGAATTAAAAAATAGTTGAAAGTTATTTACTCTTTTCTGTTTTTATTTCTTAATACTTATCAATAATGTTATAATATATTAATTAATAATTATAACTCAACTCAATATCACTTTTTTATTATATTTAAAATAATTTTTTAAAAATTTAACTAAACACAATTTTAAAATCAATCTAGAATAATTTTTGAAACAATCTTAATTTTATTTTTTATATTAAAAATAAAATTATTTTAAAAACGTTACTAAACTCGCCCATATGTTTGAAAAGAAAGTTCACAT